GGAAAGTATTTGATAATTGGTGGACTCGGTTACATCGGATCACATCTAGCAAACTACATAAATGAGCGTGATTGCCAATCCGCAGTAGTTCTGTACGATCGCGTGTGCAAAAATTCAAATCTCTCGCGGATTTCACTCGAACTGCGGGCATCCAATGTGTTTACACTAATTGTCGGTGACGTATCAAATGAAGAACTATTAACAAAAACAATGAATGAGCACCAAGTAAGTAACTTACAATAGCTTTCTGAATAAGATACTACTTGGTTCCGCTTTTACAGATTATTTTTTAGTTAAAACCTTCAGCATTATTGTTGAATAGCGCGAATATACGCGTAGATGCATAAAAGATCTGAGATTTTTGTGACTTTTTCATTTTAAATTACCTGAAATTTCATTTCTAAGTAACTGAGTAGCTTGAAATATATTCTTTAAAAGGACGTTGTTTGTCAGCAGCAAAAGTGGACTTTTATGCTCGTTACACCAAATATTGCGGATGGTAGGAAAGTAGATGAGTTAGGGTAGACAGTTGTAACTTTAAATAATTCACTTCGGTTCTCTTAAATTTCTATTTTGTTTCTGCATACCTCGCTACTGTTATGTTTGTGCACTGAATACATTTTGCTATGTAGTTAAACATTAGTCAACAGAACTGTAGTGTGGCCAAATTGTCTAGTTAGATTACGAAGTTGCTACTGCCTTCACTTTCAAGAAGAATCTTGTAAAATAACAATTTATAGCTTTTGTGAACAGCGAAATATATGATAGCGGCATTACACGTATGAGACTTTCTTGATTTCAGATTTTCATAGCTTAACATTGTTTAGCGATTGCTAGCGATGATATATAAATTTTTTCGTAACAGATAACAGTGTTTTTCTTCTCATTTCTATGTTCCATTGACCATCTTCTCATCTGTGTGTTATAAATAAAAAGCATGAAATAGAAGAAAATAAGGCAGTAGGTACAGTAAGCAAAAGCAATAAAAAAATTCACTGCAGATTGCTTTAAGAGTTCCGAAAAATCGAAAACGAAGTATCAGTAGTGGAAACTATGATATTTCGACCATGAGCATTCAAGTGGTCTGCTGCTTAGTAAATGACTAGTTTAAGGTGAAAAACGTGGCATATTAATATTCAAGTTTTACATTTCCTAAGCAGATGTATCTTTTTTGTAATTGAATTAGATAAAATTTTGGGGAGTGTTTGTCGTAAAAGATTAAATGGTCATCCTCTTCTTATGTGTGAACGTTTAAAGAAAGTTTCTTTAACTCGTACAATCGTCGTAAATGGGCTGAAAAGATGTGAAAGCTCTCTATGTTAAGCCTGGCCGTTATAAAAACCTTTGTTTGAGCAACCATTTTCAAGTATACTCAGACTATAAGAAATTCTAAAGTTGTTTTTCAGCTGATGTATATTTCTGCAAATTTCTTTGCTGTTTTTCTAAATGAAGTTTGTCTGTTAGTTATCTTTCTTTCAATACTTTTTTAAAAAAAGCCAGTCTTGAATTAGTAGAATGAAGACTAACAGTTGAAGACAGCGTAGGATTTTGAGAACCTCTCGTTGTAACGCAAACAGAATCAAAGTTGTGATAATGCCGTACATGAATGATCACTAATTATTCATGTTTATGTTTACAGGCTTTTTATATTTCAGATAGAAATTATATTTTACTGCGCAACATTCGGCGAAATAAGTGCAAAGAAGTGGGATCCAGTTGCTGTGACAAGAAACAACTTGTTAGGATTTACACACGCTTTGAATGCTGTTAGGTCTTACGGAAAAATAAAAAAGTTTATCTATGTCAGTTCCGAAGAGGTATAATTGTTTAGCTGTAAAATTTTGATAATATTATCAGTTACAAGAACTTAAACTTTTTCTTTCCATGTCGTTTTCCGTGTGGTAAGTTGGAAGAGTTGAACGACACAAATGACTGTTGTTAATTTTAAAAAGTGTAGATAGGTGTGTTTTGATTGAGCATTTTGTTATTTGTTTAAAAACTTTGTAGGTTTATGGTAAAGCATTAGGCAAGAAATCTGAGCTACTGAACTCTCGTCCTGAAAATGTAGTTTCGGCTAGTGAAAGCGGAGCCGAAGCTATGCTGAGTGCCTACTTCACCAGTTACCGACTGCCACTGCTCGTGGCACGTTTATCCCAAATTGTTTTTGGTGGCGTGATGAACGAGAATAACCTCTTAAAAAAGCTCTTAGAAGGTTAAGGTTTAAAGGTTTTGTATAAGGTGTTTTACACTTCTCTTTCTTTCCAGATAAACTTTTCTGCCTACCTTCCTGTATTACACTTTTTTAATACGGGTTATAGCAAGGAAAAAGAAAAATTCGCTCATTTACTGCACGTAAAAAGATGAACTTGTTACGACTAACAACTATAGTTCATTAATAGAAAATAAAATTTAGTTTTTCACTACAACTCTATGCTTTTGCAAGGAATCTAAAACGAGTTGAAAATTTGATGGACTTTAATGCTACTGTTTAAAAAGCAATTGATTTTGACAGTTGGTCTCAGGTTTTTTTATTTATCCGTCGGAAATATAGTATTTAATTAACATCGTATTTCACGCACTCAAAAGGAGTCTGCGTTTAAGGTTTTAAAAGTTTTACTTTCATTTACCTTCTTTTATATTAATTTTTTCTTGTAGTTTTTCTTTCCCAAAAAGAAAGCATCAATTCAGGAACACTAGGAAGCAGTTCTACTTTGGCCAGTAGTTATGGTGTTTTGAACATAAGGGATGCTGTCAAAGGTCTTATGGCTTGTGCTGATGGTGGCGTAGCCGGTGAAATATATAACATTGGTGGTTGTCATGACATCACGCATGAAATAGCGGCGGCGCTGACAACATCCGTCTGTACTTTTCCATCACTTTTGTAAAATTTGACCATCTCGGTTTCAGAACCCACATTTATTTCTTATAGACACATTACCCACAGGATTTTAAACGTTTTATTACGTTATAGCTTAAGACCAATAATGTCTTGTCAGAGATAAAATTGCTGGAATCGTCAATGGTATCAGAAAAAGCTAAACAGTTTTTAGGATGGCATGCTTCAAATAGCGGAATTCAAAGTACGTGTCTTGACCTTCTTTTCGGTTCTTATCTCAAAATTTGCTATTAAATTTTGTTTCCCACTCTAAAGTTTTTTTCAAATTCAACATTATTTGAAAAACGAATTAGTGCCAGTTTTACTGGGTTATTTTATTGGGACGGGCACGTTTAGCGGGAATGGTTAGTTCATGAAACTATACGTTTTGTTTCATTTGAAGTTTAATTTTGAAGAAATTGTAAGTCTCTTTTTTTCTGCAGGTTTGAATAATTGCGCTAGACAAATTCTTCTTAACCCTGCTAAAAGTACTTCGTCAAATTCATCTCTAAAATTTCTTCTTTATGGCTGTCGTGGAGTTATTACCAAACAACTGGTAAAAGTACTGACACAAAAAGTAATACTCTTTTTTATATCTTTCAATCATTAAACAACTTATTTTGCGTTAGTTGTTAAATTTCGTTCAGAATTTTGACTACTGTATTGGAAAGTGTAGTGTTGGTGAAAACAGTGATCAAGAAGTTCTTAACGAAGTTCTCAGTAATACCCCCAGTCACGTTATTGCTGTAGTAGAACATGATGGTGGTTGTGAAGGTTGAGTTATTAGCTCTTGTTGTTATGATTAGTCTATAAACAATTCCGCTTTATTGGCGTTATTTTTGCTAATTGGTCGTGTTCAGTGTTTCCATATGTAGACAGGTCCTCTTCAAAATGCAGTCCGTTAGAACTCCGGAAAAACGTTAGCAGCAATTTATATGCACCGTGGCTTTTGGCAAGCCTTTGCGATCGTCTTGGAATTCATTTTACATATGTGGGTAGTGGGGATATCTTTCACTACGATCAAAAACATCCAATTGACGGCGCTGGATTCCAGGTAAAAAAAAATAGAGTCGTGGTGGTTTGTTTAACCATATTTTAGACCAAATAGAAATTTAAGTTTTACCTACCTGATTTTCTACCCCATTTTTTGGTTTATTCGTTTTTTTTTTCAATGACTAATTCTAATTTGCAGGAAAATAATTATATTAATTATGTGGGCAGTAATGTAACTGTTGTTAGAGGGTACACCGATCGTTTAATGCAGTTCTTTCCAAACGCTTTAAACGTCCGTTTAAGGATGCCGATTGATTTCGATCAAAATCCTCGTGAATGGCTGAAAAAGGTAATATTTGGCGGAGTTAATTTACTGTTGGAAAACGTATTTGCATAGATTTTTTTTGCAAAGCACTTATATACATAATTGAGGTTTTGAACGGTGTTGACCAGTGGCTTAGTAGCTTATTTTTAGCACAGCATTAGGAGTGAAGAAATGAAAGCTGCCGAATACTTTGATTTCCCAGAATCAGTAACTGTGCTGACATCTTGTATACCTATTCTGTTGGAGATGATCATTAACAGAACTCCGGGCACTATTAATTTGGTTAATCCTGGACCCATTCGTTTGTCGGAAGTAGCTGAAAATTTCAAAAATCTTGTTGACCCAGCTTTTACTTACAGAGTTATAGGATTAGAAGTGCGTTGTTTTGTATTTTACTAAAATGTATTTTAATTTAGTCTTTTTTGGCAGTTCTTGAAACATTTATGAAATTTAAAATATTAGAACCTGTTTAAGGAAAACAGGGAACTGGTGGAGCAACAGTCGCACTGCAGGCTTGATACGAGCAAACTGGAGCGAATTCATCCAGGTATTAAAACTGCTGCTGAGGAAATACATAAGCTTTTTGCTGATATTAACAGGAAGAGTAATCGGAATTTTTTGCAGCAGGCTTGAAGATTTTCTGCCAAGATTTTTTATTTTCTTTGTAGAACCACATTTCTTCACATTATGTGTTTTAATAATACAGTTGTAAAATTTCATATAACTATAATCTTGACATTGTTACAGTTATAAAATTAATAATATGTTTATACACCCAGTAAAGTATAAAATTCTTATTGTTGACTGTTAGAATTGTGAGTGTTTCAAGTAGATAACTGAATGCTTCTCTCTATTTTAAACGTAGTTAATTTGCTGCGGAGTATGTTTATTACAAAGCACACTTGATTTAAAAGTTGGCAAAAATGTTGAGAAATTTTCAGTTTGAATGATTCTACTTGGTTATCAAATCAACTTATTACTTGTCAGTAAAAGCGTGCATTGACATTTTGAATTGGAGTGTTTTAAAAGTTTAGCATTATTTAGTTATCGAATTTGAGTTTTCTGAATGAGGTTTTGGAACCCTAACTTCTGCTCAGGCAATGCCGACTTTTCGTGGTAAAAATTAACATATTTGCTTGTGTGGCCGACTGAAGAAAAGTGGCAATTTTACTAGATTCGTTCTAAGTAGAGACGCGGGATCTATGAGTAGGTTAGGAAATCAGTATTCAGAAAAGGTATGTGGCGTAATTTTAACTGCTACCTGAAACCTAAACATTGCTTTGTACCAGGAGTGCAAAGGTGGTCCCTCAGCATGTTTAGTAAACCTTACGAAGAAAACCCTTCTGATTTATGACGTCAAAAAACTGTTTTTTTCAGCTCAATATTAAGAACCAAACTAAATTTGCCAATAGAGAAGATTTGTAATATTACAACAGTTGAAAGTGCAAATAGCTGAATTGATGTTTAAACCACAGACGCAAACTTATATTCTACAACAGATCACTATTTCTGCCGTCACTGAATAGTGTATCTGCTTTGTAGCATCCTCAAATTGACTTATCTCAAGTTTTGATTGAATCTTCCGGGAATCTGCTACGCCTCAAGAGCTGTGAAAGAAAGTAAATAAATTTGCTGTTTAGTCCTCAAGAGAGTACGAATAAAACATGGTTTTCTAGTGGAAAAATTCTAGCAAAGTACAGGCATGTATTTCTGCAGAATGAAGTTAGGCGACAAATGCGGCATCGTTGCAACTTTCTCGCTTCAACCTCACTTTTAAATGCTACTCGAGAAATGGATGGAGACAACATTTTATTTTACAGAATAATAGTGCAATAACATCACAAAATTAATTGTTCTGCAAAGGCGTAACTAAAACCTACGTTTCGTTCGTTTGTTAAGACGAAAAAAAGATGTGATTTTAATTTTCTGTAAAAATAACGTGACCAAAAATCACTTTTACTGTTTCTCTGCAAGCAGAAAAGAAAAAGCTTTTGGTTGCAATGAAAATAAACTTTTATTTCATGAGTTTTTGTTATAACATATTCTTGACAAAAACCAATCTTGGGTAATTTTAAATGTAAGTGAAAAAAGTTCAAAGCCCACTTTAATTTTTACAAAGTCACTTTCTTAAGCTAGTTTTAAAAAAAATTTTTTAACAAAGCTCGTGACCATACTTATATATAATTTCATGTGCAGTCGCGTAAAAGATCTAGGCAGTATTTTCACGGCGTTAGAGATTACAGTTTTTTATCTCAAAATGCGCATTTTCCTAACTCTTCTTTTGCTCTGAAATACAATGTTTCTACCGTCTAAATCACTAAACACAGCGTAAATTTCATTTTTACACAACACTGCAGAAGGAAATTTTTTGTAAAGCTTCATTATTTCTTCAATAACAGAGCAGAAAAGCTTTCCGTTACAGTTGTGATCACGTAATGATCATTAGTTGTCCTGAGTCATATATCACTAACATCGGCTGATAACAACCAATTTTTTAAAGGAAAATATGGATAAATAAACAGGTCTTATCTGGTAAAGTTAGCGACAGTTTTCCCTTTATCGAAATAGTATTTAATGTTGGGAACAATGAATTGACAATTGAGTTACAGTATTGGCTCAATTGAATTCTGCCAGATCTTCAGGGAAGGTGAACCACTTGCTGAATCAATGCAAAAAAAACTTCTCATTGAAGGTAATGAGATTCACTAGTGCGTGTTAATATGGTACTTAATGACAAATTTTATTTTAATTTCTCTTTATCATCAAACAAGAATGACAAATTGGAGTGAGGGGCTAAAGCGGCCTTGCCGTAACAGTGAATGAGGCTAAAAGAAATTTTTTCACACCCCTTCAAGATCAAACACTTTTTGCATTTTATTCACGATATTTCCATACACTTGTGGTTTCCTCGCAAACACTAAACTCGAGAACGTTCTATGTATTTAGACTTCTCAAATTGTTTTACGCTATTTCAGTAACACATCGCAATCTGTCGATTTAAATTTGTAAGGTTCCTCGAACGAAATTAACAGAGCAGCAAGCAAGGCACAAAAAACCGAAGCAAAAAACTAAAAGTTCAGAGAACGTAGAAAAACTGGACCGAAAGTTGGAGGGGCCAAAGAAAGAACTTAACGAAGTAAATCGTCAGCCAATACGCACCCCTGAAGGTCGCAAAATTTGCCAATTTGTTGCTTGAAATGCCTGACTCCGCAGACTTGTAATCCATCTTGTCTTAAAAAAAAAAATTGCAAAATTACACTTAGATGACATTGTCATGTTATCTACCTCTAAATACATAAAATCTGTTTAATCCTGGTGAATAATTTTACTTATGCAGTAAAAGTAATATTTTAAATAAATATAAACAAAGCACATTTTAATATTTTTAAGAAAAGAACATTTGTGAAGTTTTTTCTTCATAACAGATCAAAAATTGGTAATGGCATTCAATAGACGTCGAAATTTACGGACTATAGAGGAGCGTGAGACTAAAAACAACCTACTGCTTTTACTTTAGTCCCACAGTGACAAAACTGCCTTCAGCTGCTTCTGAAAACCGCAGAGAACCTTATTAAAAATTGGTGTTTCTCAGTCATTGATGCGACTATAGACAATATCCCTAATTGAAGGACGGCCTAGCCTTCCTCCTACTATTCTCTTTAGAGCTTGAAAAACGTTTTTTATTTCTACTGTAGACCCAATAGCCGCTTGAGTACTACAGCACCAACTAAAGACTGTAACCTTAGGTAACGTTTGTGGACTGTAAACCCTTTTAGGTAACGTTTGTAGATTGTAAATCCTTTTAGGATCACTAGTTACTACAGTAGCCCTTAACTCGTTGATGGTATGCGAACGCTTAGTTTTATAGACTATTTTATTGGAAGCTTGTCGTACACGAGTA